ATTTTAACGACAGCATTTGACAATTATATAACTTTTTTTACTTTCTATCTTTCTCGTTAGTTTAGCTGTCAGCTTTATAAATGGCACTTTTTTTTTTTTGGAAAGGAAAAGTAGAGGCTACTTGGCGCAAATAGATCAGACATTGAAAATGTCAACTAAATGTTATTGTGATCAAAAAAAAGTCTAAAAGCTATAGTCTTTTTTTTGGGGTCTATACAAACAAATATGTTCATAAATTTCAGCACTGTATTAGCGATTGCGGTTCAGAGTTATCTGCAACTTTTCTTGTGCCAGAAGTATCCGATTTTAAGCCTGAAAAGAAGAAGCAACAAAAGCAAAAACCTTTCATATTATGTTTAATTGTGACATTGTGGTAAAATTGTTTAGCATTCTCTGAATAAAGGTAGAATGTCCAAATCTGTAAAAAATCTTGCGAGATAAGGCCATAAAGTCTCATTCAGTCTAAACGAGAAAAAAACTTGTTTTCTGTAGATATATGTTTTTCTAGTAGTTTTTACCTCATTTTTCTCCAGCCACAAAACTTCTTAGCATTTTTTCCACAAAACTTCTTATCATTTTTTGTAAATCAACAATACTTTTACCTACCTAAGTTTAAACGTTTCGAAAACAATCTCTCTTACTGACAAAAAAGCATTTAAAATTGAAATTTAACCAGCCAAAATTAGTTTTTATCGTTTTTAACGATTTATTTTTACTTATATGTTTGCTGTGACCGTTTATCTGTTCCATTCCTAATGCTCATTAGCTTCTTCCTACCAGTTAAAGAGTAAAAAAGAAAGATGAAAAATGGTAAGGTAAGTAACGCAAAGTTTCAGAAATAAACCAGCAAAATAAAAGTAATAATGTTTGGTTTTTTGCGAAAGGTTACAGTTTAATGTCAACAGTCACATGTCACCTGTTTAAGAATCAAACTTTATTGTTTTATTCATTTATTTTTAACACCTTCTTAATTATGTCAAGCACTAACTATTCATGATAAATATGGTCGTGTTTCTGAGGTGAAAAGTGATAATGGCAATTTACTTATTCTCTTCCTTCATAAATCCCTAATAAAATAGCTCTTAATCATTAAGGAACAAAAAAACATCCTTGCTCAACATATTTATTATTTACATTGCATCTTAATAAACATTGATGATTTTTTGCAATTCACCACTCTTTTCAGTTTTGGCAAGACAAGAAATTGAAACTAAAGAATATATGGTAGAAGGCAGATAAGAAAAAGACAAATAGAAGTAATAAAATAAAAAATTACAAACTTAGTTGTTCAATAACCATATTTTAATCAACTATATCGTTTAGACTGATCACTGGTTGGTTAGTAGCAGCAGCTGCAGTAGCAAGAAAAGTTAGACAAATTACTTTTGTAATCAAAAGGTGCACCATAAATGAGTGATATTTATAACAGAAAAAGAAAAGTCGCGGACGAAAAAATTCTTATGAAGACATCTTAATCTGACATTCTTTGATTTTAAACATGCTAATAACACTTTCTTATATTTGAAGTTCTTCAATAACCCGACAATTTGAATAATCAAAAAAACATTAAAATGCTTAGGAAAAAAAACCTAGCAAAAAATTATTTTTGAAAATAAAAGTATTTTACACTGCTAAATTTGACTGCATTATTTTCCTCCGTTCCTTTATTGTACAATGAAATTCAGATATCCTAATCCTGACTTTTGTTCCAAGCACTAAAGCACTTGTCAACATTTCAGTGCTCTAAAAAGAGTAGATTAACTAGCAGGTAGATTGTTTTACTCATTTCAAAAGGTAAAGATTAAAAAAATTTTTGGAAAAAGGATTACAACTGCGGAAAAAATGATTAAACCAAACTTAAAAAAATAGAATGAAAACAACTGTAGAAGAACAATCAACAGAATGTAAAGCTAAAATCAAAAACAGTTATTGTTATACTTTAAAAACCTGTTTCCCACCTAAACTGATAATACTAGTGCCTCAGCTCGTTTGAACGCTAAGAGTTCCCTTAGTGATCATTGAAACAAATGTGCTTTCTTCTTCTTTCCTCTAAGCTATCCTATCAAAAAACATATATGTATATCTCATTCCAAAAAAAAACCTCCTACTAAAAGTTGATTTACTATAATAAAAAATTATCAGCTTTTTCTCCATTTTTTTGAGAGAGAATAAGAAAGAGGAAAAATCCAGAAAATTTGTTCTGTCGTTTACAAATTTTGAAAAGTCCGCTGGGGCTGGTAAAGTAGAACAAGTTTCCAATTAGCACGACCCTCTTCCTCCCCCCCCCTCCAAAAAAAAAACCAAAAAAAAAAACTAAATGATCATCGGTGGAAAGCACCTTTCATCTTTTTAATGTGATTTCCATCAGAGTGCGAAAAAAGTTCAAATTTCAGTCCTGAAGTGACATTGTAAATTGCGTCATTTTTCTTCGTCATTCTTCTATAATTTTCGCGAATTTTCAGTATCATTTGCAGAACTGTTTTATTTCATTTTCTAGTAATCATTTCTTGTGCTTTGCACATTAGCAAAAAAAAAATCAGTTTCAATGTAAAAATCTATTACTAGTTGTTTTTCAAACAACAAAAAAGGAGGTTATTTCTCGTTGTAAAGCAGGATATTCAATTCCATGTTTATAAAACGACAAAATTAAACACACGAAACGCCTAAAAAGGAAATTGAGTTGCCGATGCTAATAGTTTAAAAAATAATGAAGAAAAAGAGTTTTTTTTGAAAGCATATTTTATCTGCAACTTTTTGTGGAAATAAAAATTAGTAATATAATATTCGCTACTGCTGCGTTCGCCAAGTTCCTGTAACTGGTTCCGCAGAATCGCGGTAAATATCGGCAGGCCAATGCTGAACATTTGGCTTTAAACAACTACCGTTGAGAAACTGAATATTTTTATGTAAAGCTAACATCATGCCTCATATGTTTCGCACGGCAATAGACAGCATAATTTCTTATGCTTTGTAAAGAAACGCATGATACTGAGGAAAGAAATATCTGAGAACAGGAAAATAGTTAAGAACTACGCTGCTTCTTGAAAAAATTTACAGAAGGACAACTTTCAATTTGCAGTTTCATCTAACAGGTGTATTTCACTCCCATATGAGAAGAGTTCTCAAAGATAGTGAATTTCACAAGCTATCTTACAAGTACGTCTACATCTGCTGTCATACAACAAAAATATACGAGAAAACTCCTCAAGCTGGCCTACGTATCAAAAAACTCAAATGTTTCACAAATTGTCTCTCATTTTTACAGTAATTGCATTCAAAGACATAAATTTAGCTAAAAGACCATAAAACAAAAAAATTAAGTAAAAAGCGACACAGGAAAAAAGTTTAGCTTCTTAAAAGTTAACTTTACTTAAAGAAGCCTTATGCGAAGCAGTGGAATGCTGGAATTCACCCAACCCAGATGCTTTTCGTTAAAGCGAATTACAGAGTTAATTTGGAAGTGAAGACGCCAATATTTTCTCTCCGTATTCTTCAAAGTAATACACGTTTTAGCCACAAACAAATCTTCTATGTCAACGCCTTCCACTACCAACTACGTGCTTCATTGGTCGTTCGACTGCTTTTCACAGTGCCTATGAAACCAACCTGTTCTAAATTATCAATCTTACACGAATTTTTCAGACAGCACACAAGACTTTGATTCTTTGTAGGTTTCAAAAAATTCTTAAATATTTTAAATTTCTGCAGGTTTCAAAAATCCAGGTTAAGTACAAATTACTTCTTTTCTTCCCCCCCTGTCTCCTAAAGTTTTGATGTATTTTTTTAATTCTACCGTAGCCTGGTGTTCCAGTTGTGTGCAAACAAGTCACTGTATCAAGCTCTTCCCGTAAGCGACAGAATCTAAATGTAGGAAGAATGTATCCGTGTATCACATTTTGTAAATAACTGTACGAGTTTGTATAGACCAACAAGCTTGTTGCTTCTTCATTCGAACAATACGTTTTACCATACTCTTAGTTGCAGTTTCCCAGTGTTGATTGTGCTGGAAGTATGTGCGAAGTTTTTCATGTGTAAACCTTTATGAGAAAAAAGTAATCAGTGGCTAAACACATCGCCAGATAGTACACGTGAAAATTTTTGTCACTCTGTAAGTGATTACTCAGTTAGATAGTAACTATCAACGTACACAGTGCTAACAATGCTTAATCATTTAGGAACCAGAAAAGGAAAGCAACTCAGATAATAGCTTCAAGTCTTGTGAAGTAAAGAAAGTTAGTTTTAGTTCTTCTTCTTCTTCATTATTGGTCCAAACACGTTTAAAATATAAAAACAATGTACATCTGCAGCCCCGTTTAAATCTGCAGTAAGTAAACGCTGTGAACAAAGAAGATCGGCCCCAATGATCACTGACATTAATGATAAGATTCCACCGATTGAGATTGATTTTCACACTTCAAACAGGAAACTATTCGAATGACACTGCAAGAAGCATATGATCCACAAACCTCAGTGGAACGGAACGAATAAACTAGCTGACTATGAAGACGAAACAGGTCCCCAAACCTCGAGAACCGGACCTCTTAAACCGGTTGCAAAGTTCCTGTGTTTGCCTTAGCGTCTTCGGCTTTACGGTGCAGTTTCCTTGCCTGGTGTCCTAAGACGACTGTTTGTACTTCTATTGGAGGACAGCCAACGTCTAGTCAACGATCATTTTGTGAACCGATTCCTCGTAATACGGAGGAAGGCAAAGGTCTCTCGTCAATTTTGGTCTACAACTACTTTGCTATAGATTTGGGACGTTCGATTCTGCCTGCCTATAGTTACTCTTTCATATGTGTAAAGGGTTGGCGGAACTGTAGAGTAAATTACTGTTCTGTTTATATTTAAGTAATTTTGGTGCTTATTGTCTTATCATGCTTTCCTTGATCTTCTCGTTTTTCTCCTTAATTCTTCATGTAACAGTACATTTGGATTGAAAGTCGGTAGTCAGTCATACTTAAAAATTGGTAATTTCATGTTTTAGTTCCGTGTATTGCATCATGGAGTTATCAGGAGACAGAAATATTGACGAAGAACTCGCACTGTAAGTCAAGCTTATTTCTCAGTAAACTTAGAACTGATTTTGTTACTTGTGGTAAACAACGGTAAAGCATTTGATGAAGGTTTGGTAGTAACAAGCAGTACCTGTTGTTTTAATTCAGACTGTGAAAATTCTTTGATATTCCACTGTTTATTTCGCGTTTGGCTCAGTTTGAAGTAGTCTCAGCCTGAATACATAAGTAGCTTTTTTTGAGGGAAGTAATTTTGAATCAATTTTTTTGCAGTGTTTTTGGTTGTAAAAGAGTTAAATAGCTGTCATGCTGCGTTCTAGGTTCGAGAGGGAAATCGCATCTTTGGAAAGCGCAAATGTAGATGCAGTGGAAGAAACGATTGAGGTTTTGGGTCACAATGATGTAGATAGTCCTAGTACTTCAAATGAGCTTCAGAAAGAAGAGCGTCCAGGTTCTACAGAACCTGTCATTTCTGGTCCGATGCTGCCAACTAACGGAGTGTCAAAGTCACCCCCCACTGTTAGCCAACCTTCCGTCCCTTCTGCGACGACATTCAGGAACCCGGTTCCGCCAATTCGTTCTAATGCTCCTCCGTAAGAAGCTATGATAAAGCTATGATATCATGTTCATCACTTATTTCCGTTTTCATTACCTATTTTTTTTTGTCTAAGCTCCACTTTTTGTACCTCTTCTTCAGATTTTTGCCCCATGTTATGCTACGTCCTGGTTATGTCCCACCGCCACCATCGTTCGCAATGCGTTTTATGCCTCCACAGGTAAAATGAAATTTTTTTTACAGATTAACTGTCAAAAGCTTTTTTTTTTCAAATAGGTTCTTAGACGCTTTGCTACGAAGTTTTCTTTTGGATTATAACAATGCTTGAAAGAAACTTTTTTATTTGTTCCATAGGTGGACTATGAACATACATTTTGTCTTAAAGATTGACTGAATCTGGTGCTAATAAAAGACTCCTGAATATGCTTCTTTTTGAATTTGGTTTTGCAGTTTTTACTGTATCATTCAATTTCGTGGTAGACCTGCAGGCGACACAAAACGTGTAAGATATGTTTTCAAAATTCTGTGTTCTTCATGACTGCATGAGAACGATTTCACGAAATTTAACGAAGGTTTGCAAATAATTATTTCTTGGCATGGTAATTTCTGCATTTAGTTAGGGGACCGAGTTCAAGTAGTATTTTGTTGAAGTAGGAAATATAAATTAGGAAGATGGGACGCCTTTTTAATTTGCAAGGGTTTTAGTGGGACTTATTGGTGGATTATGCTTGTAATTGAATAGACTTAGATGGAAAGTAGAGCGGTTATACTTTTTCATTTACTTTCTAAAAGTTTATAATTCTGTACATACTTTCTTTACGCTTTTAAATTAGTGTCTGGGTTCTAACGGTTGTTTACCTGAAAGACTGTGATTTTGTTCTCGGTACAACTAGTTGAAAAAATTTTTGTGAGTCATGTGTCTTCATTCCGTGTTATTTTATTGATTTTCATCGGTAATATTGTCCTTGCTTGGGCCAGAAATGAAAATTATGTTAGCAAAGACGACTTATTTTTTTAAGTGTTGGGTACGTGTGACTTTTACTGCTAGCATTAGTGTGGATTAATGAAAGAATGTTGAACAAGTTAGTTGAAATTAGTTTCTGGTTTTTTTTAAAAATTCCAGGTTTATTTTAGCGTGTGGTTGGATAGAAAGGCGCAATTTCTTTGCAGTATCGTTTTCAGTTTGTTTCTGTCACTCACTAAGTTATTTGCTTTTTGCTCAATGTTTACAGAATTTTTCTATGAATTCTGACTAGTAATCTTTTGAAGAATCACACAGAGTCTTTTCCAGGAAAATTTCTTATTTAGGTTTTATTTCTTTATAGGTCTGTTAAAAAAGGAATTGAGGGAAATTATGCAGTGTTGGACAATGCTGATTAACCTGTAAGGGGGAATAAAAAATATGCAAATTTGGAGGACAACTAAGATAGCATTGAAGGTTTTTGTCATAGGGTAACACAAGGGGTTGTAGAATGACTAGTTATCATTTGCTTCGTTGTTTTCGTAGTCCGTAGTTCAAATGAAAGAATGGCAATCAAAATTTAATTCAGTACTGGGTATAGTATATTAAGCCACTTGATTGAACGATTTTGGTAAATCCAATGAAAGTTATTAATTTTTGTCATTGATAGGTTTTTCTTGGTTTATATGCAAATCTTTCTACAAAAAATTTTCGTGCTGTTTTGTTAGTGAATACGTGTTTCTTATAAGTGTGCTAAAATCCTTATACACATTTTTTTTTCTGTATTACTTTCTCAAAAGTTAAACTGAAAAGCAGTTAAGTTGATGCCTTTACTTTTTTATTAAGTCCCGCTGATTTTCTCAAAAGATATGCTTTTTTTTTTGCTTTCTTGACGGTATTTTTTCTTGTTACCGGTCTTCATTTCTATCTTTTCTTTCTTTCTTAAAAGCCTCTGTGATAAGCATATTTTAGCGTTTGATAACTGTATGACTGTATTAAACTCAGCTATTGTTTGAAGTTTTCACTCATCCTCCTTAGGAGTTTGGTCGCTTAAGTACTCAAAGTAGCTGTTCTCAAGCAGATTGTTTTTCAGCTTCGGCTTCCGTTGCCAGGCTTTCTGAGACCTCCTATGCAACTTCCACCGCAACCTCCTGTTTTGGAGTCTGGGCCAAGTCTTTACGATGACAAGAAGAAGGGAGAAGAATCGAAAAGTGAGGAAGCTGAGTCTGAGAAGTCGAAAACAGCTCCAAAAACTCAGGTTAGTAGTGCTTTTTATTAACGAGTAGAGAGCAAATTGCTTGGATTTTCTCCTTTTATTTTTAGGTCTTATCTTCTGACGTTGAGTTAGTAGCACAGAAAAAGCACAGTGAAGCTGCAAACAGATCCAGCTACCTTGGACAAGTTATGAGAGGAGAAAAGAAAATGAAGCGCTTTTTACGGGTTGGTGGCGGTCAGGTACGGCACTTTTTTTCTTTTTTAAATATGCTGGACCAATTTTCTAAGGGATTTGGTACTTGTTTTGCAGCTCTGGCAATTTGTAAACTGAAGACAAGTGTTGATAAGAGTATTGGCAGTAGAAGCAGTTAACTGTTTCTAAATTATTTGTCTTGCAAGTGCAGCTGTTAATTTGGAATGTAAAGTGTAGGAATGTTGTTGCTCTTCATTAATTTTGCCTATAAATTAAAATTTTATTTGTTGCAGCTGTTGCTATGCTGGTAGATTTAGGTGTGGGAGGATCCGTCTCTTGCGGAATGGGATCCAAATGATTTCCGGATATTTTGTGGAGATCTTGGCAATGAGGTTTCGGACGAGTTGTTGGCCAAAGCGTTCCGGAAATATCCAAGTTTTCAAAAGGCAAAAGTTATTCGAGAGAGTAAAACTAACAAATCGAAAGGATATGGGTTTGTGTCGTTCAAAGCTCAAGACGTCAGTAATTCTTTGGGCTTTAGTTTTCTAGAAATTTCTGGCTTTAATCAATGAGTGGCGACATTTCTTGGCTTTTTATTTTTGTTTCGTGGACTGTTTTAGGACTTCGTGCGTGCAATGAGAGAGATGGATGGGAAATATGTTGGTAATAGACCGATTAAATTGCGAAAAAGTAATTGGAAAGAAAGGAGTCTAGATGTCGTAAAAAAGAAACAAAAACAGAGGCAGAAGCTCGGTTTATTGTAGCTTTATTCGTCTACCCTTGATATATTGCTTTATTTACGTCGACTGCCGTTAACTTTTGTCATTTTAATTGGAGTTCATTTTTTTTGTTTTCAACAGATCTCAGTAAAGCTTAGTTTTTTTCTGTGATTTATTGGTTAAGAGTATAGCCACAGTAAAGTGGGTTAGTTAATGTCATAGTGTTTTAAAGGTAGTTATATGCAGACTTATGAGCCGTAGTAGATTGTTGCTTTTTATTTGGCTGGGAAAGGTAAGAAAGGAGAGGGAAATAAAGAACGTGATTTGTGGTAAAGGAAGGGATATTGGAAGATTGGACAGATTTTATTTTTTTGCGTAGAGGAGTTACGGTTCAGCGAGTAGAGGAGCATCTATTTTTTTTGAGATAGCAGTTGAAACTTGGAAGTGCTGGGTACACTTACTGGCGCAGCCAGCGGAAGGATGGCTCCTTGATTCCTTACCATCGTCGTGCCTGTGACTGCAGTGGTAGAATTTTACTTCCCAGCTAACCTTGCTTTAAAACCTGAGTCGTTGCTGGTTTGCACACGTTTATTTCCGATCGCGTCCAACGTGATCTGCAAGTTCAGTTCCACAGTAGACTTTTCTGTTTTGATTTTTCTCATGAGTACCCACAGGGAAGAGTATTATGCTATTTCATTAGCAAAGCTTCAAAAAAGAAATGTTTGACTTCAAAGGTGTACACTTCAAAGGGTTTTGCTGTCCTTGATTCTGACACGGGAGCTCCTGACCCCTGTGCAGAGCTACTTTTGAACTTAAACGTCTGTTTATTATAGTATTCTTCGCAGTGTTTATCAATTTTTTTGACAATTTGAGAATCATTATTATTATTATTATTTTTTTTTTGCAATCGCCGACTTAATTTTCGTTTTTGATTCGTCGGATACGATTTATTAGTTTTCTATAAAAGCTTCAAACGCCGGCTGTATTTTTCGAAGTCGAGTATCTAGTTTAATGACTAGTCACTAAGGGCCGTAATCTGCTATGGATTGAAGCAGTTAGTAGTCTTCTACATATGGCACTGTGAAATAACAGTTTACCACTTTAACCACTTTTTAATCTTTCTCCTATTTAACTGTCGAAAAAATGGGTTTTCAGCGAGAAAATTGACTGTTTTTCGAATGCTAACCATCCGCTAACAGTTGGAAGAATTAGGTGAGTGGTAAAGATCCAACAAGAACTGTAGCTCATTTAAGAGAGAAAAGTAGGACCTTTGCTATGTTAAGGTAGCGACTGAGGTGGGAAAATTGATACTTTGCGAGTGAGGATAAATCGATTCTTGATTGTTTGTACACCTTGTCTACTGTCTGGTAGCTCACCAAGAAAGTGCAATACGGTTCGAAATTCGAAACAAACGATAAAGCATTACAGAGGGGGAAAAGATCATCCAGAAACAGTTTCTTCAAATCGTCAGAGTCGACTCACCAGCGAATCAAAAAGTATTTTCTATAAGAGGAGCTTGTTTGTGAATTGAAACCACTTGACAAATTGACTGATTACCGGATCCTGAACTATAGCCGAATGGATAAGGAAGAAATTCTTCAAACCCATTAGTGTGGGTTATATTCTGCTCCAGATAATGTCGACAGAAATTAATAGACAGATCTTGTGCTGCGTAGACAGACCATGTTTATTTGTCATCCAGAAATATAAATTTTTCATACGTTAAACGATCTGAGAGTTATTTTATCGAATGTTATTTCAAAAAAAGTATTTTTTATCTTTAAGCAGAAAGGCTGTAATGTAGGAGTATTCAGACGTGATTTTGATCTATGCATTTATAAGGCATAGGCTTTTCCTGTTCTCCGAAAAACACATTTGTTTTGATTTTTAAGACTATTATTTTGTTTATTCAACCACTTATGAACTCAAAATATAAAGTTTTTACACTCATTTAAATAGCAAATACAATTTTATTTATAAAAAAAACCTATCTTTTTCAGTGGTTTATTGAAACCTGGCAATTGCACAAAACGTAACAGTAAATAAAAAATGAACATTGGACATGTACTGAGGACAAAAACTTTGTTATATGAAAGGTTTTATGTCCAGCAAACAGCGATTATTCGCTTATTATAGCCGAAAAAATAGAAAAAAAATTAAGTTTTTGATGTGCCGAAAACAGCTACAGACAGATATTGTAGTGAACCAAAGAAAGTGATGAAAACAACGGCGAAGAGAACAGCATTTAGTCTTTGCTAAAAAAGTATCTATTTGGCGATCTCAAGAAACGTTTAAAAAAAGTTCAGTTGTCAGAAAATTGAAATGAAAGTACAAATTTAAAAAATTTGAGATATTAAGCAGAAAACTTATCATATTAATAATGGATTTTAAAAGTTATAGCAGCAAAATGTACAATATAACCAACTTATTCCTTCTTAGGTTTTAATCTTTTGTTTTTCCTGTAGAAGCGGTATTTGACATAACGTTCAGCGAAATAAAGCCACAGCTGCTGAAATTACACTGTTAATTGTAAGGGAACAGTTTCAATCGTAATAGGATTTTTACTCTTAGTTCATAGTACAGCTGAGTGAATGGCAAACATAATTTTATTAAAAAATGTAATTAAAATTTGTTTATAGATGAGCGTTTAAGCTGTGAACCTGATTAGGCACTAATTCTGAATGATAAGATAATCAACTCAGTACGGCAGCATATCAATTTCAGTTTTTCTCCGTTATGGTATGGAACGTTGCACGACAATTCCGAGCTAACTGTTATACCACTATGACTATTCCTCATCGCTGTTCTCTCCTATGTAATATTACAAAACGTTGAAATAGGTGGCTTTCTTGTAAATCTCTGGTAATATCAGTTGGTGACACGATAATCGTATGTATAAGCGACTGGACAGTATTGTATTCAGTGACGATGAAGTATTAATTTTGGCTAACTTTCAAATTTTTCGCAGGCTTCTCTGAATTACGGACTGTGTAGAAAAAATAAACTATTAGGAATTGGAAGTTCCTTTACCAGGTCTTTATATTTTTATGCGTAAAGTTGACATTAAGAATTATTTAAAAACGATTACATTTGACAAAGCCTCGGTGCTCTCTGTATAAGAATGTGTCACTGCAGAAAGATACTATTTGAGAAAGCGCAATTGATTTACAATTTAATTGTATAACTTTTTACTGTCACAAACGACTGTTATATTCAAAAAAAGTTGTAGCGATAATAAGCAACGTGTTTTCGTCATTAGGAACTGTTGCAGCAAATTGATATGATAAAATACCTCTATAGGTCCAAATTTTTGACAGATGTTTTCATTTGACC